GCCCTAGGCTTCAGCCTATGTTGCCTGTACGATAAATCCGCCACTGTATGTATGTGCATATTTATGTGTAGAGGGTGGCATATGTCAAATTTTTTCACGAACCCAATTAGCATTACTTGACGTATGTTATTTTTTTAGTTTTTTAGCTGTACAAATATGCCCTTTTTAGCTTGGCTTGCTTAAAAACACTGTGGGTATGCCATTTTGGTTTTCGCATTTTTTTTTTTTTTTTGGTCTAGTGTTTGTTAAATTTTTTGCTCTGCGTTTTCTCACCTTTCATTATTTTGGGGTGAGCTACCTTACTACCTGGCTTACCTTTATGTTGCCACCTGGTTCTTTGTAATCGGCGAATTCCAGGTCTGTTATGCCATAACTAATGGTATACTCAGTGACAAATTCATCGCTGTGCGGTCGTCCTTGCAGCGCGATGTGTGTCACATTTCTTACATAACCCAAATCGATGATAAGTCGCTGATCAAAATCGGAATTTTTAGCGGACCAAGAAGTACCGGCTATGTAAATGGTGGTGAGTATGTATTTGCATTTGTTGCAAGTATAGGGATGTAATGGAGGTTTAATATTGGAAAAAATAAAATAGAAATAGAAGAAAAAATATAACCAAATAAATTAACTACTAAATAAATGAATTAAAAAATAATATATACTTAATACGAAAGCTGTATATTTTTATTTAAAAAAAACTGTATATTACTATTTGATGAATACTATTTTAATAAAATATTGCTACTTACAAAAAACACAATAAAATGGATTTTTAATGGCAAATAAAGATTCCAAAATGCATTTTTTTACACTAGCTGGATCATACATAGTACATACATACATACATTTTTTAATCTACTCACGCGCTACTTACGAGCAATTGACAAAAAGTTACACATTAAAAATAGATTTTTAAGCAAAAAATGGAAAGTCTTAACCCAAAGTACTCAAAAAACAAAAGAATGAATGAGGTGGAGCAAAATTTTAGTACCAAGTGTGGTTACTTAACGATTGAACATGACGTTGTTTTACCCACTGCGGAGCCCTGCCCAAAATCAACGCAGAAAACGTATTGTTTTGACGTTGCCTGACCAACACACCGGAGGTAAAGTCACATCTCCCGCTTTTTCCAAGAACAGAGTGATATCCGTACATCGATCAATATACCGTCATGCCGACGAATCCTACTTTGGATTGCGTTCAATTCAGTTGGAGTACTTTCGCGTGCCTTGTTGGGCTGGTCGCGATTCGGGGGATGAGATATTGTTTAACTTTTATTTGCTGTTCAAGCCGCTGTTGGGTTGACTCATATAGCATTGCGGCTTATCCTTGTCTGACACATGGAGCCGATAGTGGGAGAAACCAAGAACTCTTGGTTGTGATTTATGGCCAGAGTAGATCTTTATGGGCTTCATTCTCTGCGTATGTTGCATCTAGCCAAGCTGTAGTTCGGTTGGAACAAAAGTAGTTTTATTGTCCCGGGGTTGGACTCGATCACAGCCCGAATCCGAACGATGTAAATTAGATATGTGTGTATGTACATATGTATAGCTAAATGAATACACACTTACATACATATGAATCATAAAATTCATAAATTTGATCCTGCCCTCAACTCAGCTCAGTCATACGCAATTAGTTACCAGCTCTTGTTTACCCAGAACAAACCAGTGTATCGATTGATTTGTAAGCGAAACACCCTCTGATTAATAGAAACGTTTTGGCAATTGTTTAGTACAAATAGAAGCACGTGAACCCTAAAACGTTAAATTAACTGGGACACGCTTACATACTGCATATTTATAAGGACAAGAGTTCCAGAATAGTAAAAGGTTCAAAGCTAATGAGGATTGCAGGCGTGCAAGCATAGCCAATATGAAATACAGCTCATAGACCAAATGCAAGATTTTTGAGGGAGGGAGTTAATGGATGGCTAAAATAGGAAAAGAAACTATACATGCGGAAAGGTCAAAGCAAAATCGACCGAATGGTAGGGCCATTTGTAGACAGGCAATAAATTTTAAATTGAATAGGTGACACTAAACAAAAAAAAATCAGCAAGGCAATCGCGTCGAAAAGCATTTAAAATAATTAAATTGCTACTAAGCAATAAAGCGAAAGTCTAAACGCAATTGAAATGATTATCGAAATCGCCAAAAAAATCGGTTACAAATGAAAACAAAAACAAGACAAATAGTAGGTAAGTACTACATGCATAAGTATGTATGCATGTTTTTTGAACATAAAAGGGGCGACCAAACGAGCGAACTACCCTCGAACTTATGGCAGCACAGGGGATAATGCAATTTTTGGAAATAAAATCACTGAAATTGCTGCAATGCGCTTTACAAGAACACGAAATTGCTATTGAACTATGGCGACAGATCCGGTGAGCATACACACAAACATAAGTAAATGATTGGGCGAGCGAGTCCGCCTTTGACAGCGGCATCTCGCCTTTTCTGGGTATGACGGGAGTGCCAAAACTAAATGGTCACGCGGCATAACAAATATGCTTGCTGGCATTTCATTGTTTGTTAGGAGCACTCAAATGCTGTGAATTTCTCACAAACTAGGGGAGACAAATACAAGGACTTAGTGGGTATGCTGCAGTGCGATTAGGGTGATGCATTTGTGAATGAATGGATGGATAGAATTTCATACGAAAAAGGGTGAAGGCAACCGACAAGGACAAGGGCTATGCTGCAATTATTTGAGTGGAAAGCGAAAGAAAAAGGCGCATACAACACGGGACACTGTGGTTGTAACGGATATAAAAACAATTGAAAAACAAAATAACAATTGAAGGGTTTATTTGCAAAAAAAAAAAACGAAAATACTATTTTAGTTTGCTTGAAGCGTTTAAGGATCTTTGGAAGTGATTCGAACCGCTTGCCAACCACAAAGCACTCGAGCTGTCGGCAAAAAAAAAAAAACGGCAGGTGCGAACTTTTTAATTTGAAAGACCACTGAAATATTCTAAACCCCTGTGGTTTTACATAACACAGTAGGAATTTACAAATTCATTTTAGGGATTTTCTGCTGCATTAAGCCTATTGGAATAAGAGATTTTTTATAGTTGAATTTTTAATGAATAAACGACTGCCAAATAAATTATTCGTGAAAGGTCTTAAAATGTTTTCCGTCGTAAATTCAAGGTTTCTTTTTTATTTGTGAAGATAAAAAAATATTAGCATCACATAGTTTTATTCTTTAGCTACCAGGTCATGTCTATCTTAGCTTTTATCCACATACATATGTAAACGTAAATAAAAATAAGAAAACAGCTAAACCCCATTGCTACATGTGCCGGGCACAAATGACACAAACGAGCATACATATGTACATACATACGCACATATGTATTGTTCGCATAATAATTTTGCCGCAGTGCTTCGGTTTGCGCAATATTTTTATTGCTAGCTCATTGATAAATAGCGCCGCTAAAGGCGGGTTGTTGCGGAGGAGTTAGAATTTGAGCGCAGCGCCAACATACATGCATATTTTTGTGTAATGAACGAACGAAAAAAATCATTCAAACTTTATACAATACGAACTATCGAAATAAATGCGACCATGTGAAACAAACAAAATAGTTTCGTTTTTTTGTGCTAAAGAGGATTTCTCCAGCAATAAATTATTTTCCTTTAATCTTATCAACATAAGATGCAATAGCAGTATAAAAACATTCCAGTAGATAATTTCAGGAGTTAAAAGCCCTTCCGAAAGGCCTTCCACTCTACTTTCCTTTCTCCTTTCTTTTTTGTATGGAGTGGCACAAATTGAAGGGCTTCTTCTTTCGCTACCCATGGAAGGCCTTCCAAAAGGGCTTTTATAGGACATGCTTCAGAAGGGCTTTTGCGCGAGTTCTTTTAAAGTTGCTTCTTCAATTTATAAAAATCATACATCTGTGAAGTAGTTTTGCTTGCGGTTTATATCAAACATGTGTTATTGCAACTCAAAATGTTTATTGAAATTCGCGTAAAATGTAAATGAGAAAGCCCTTCTAAAGGGCATGCAAGGAAGCACTTTTTTCAGCCCTTCTTGGGTAGGCCTCTGAGAATGGCTTTACTTAAGAATGCCTACCTAAATTACCTTCTGGGATTAAATATATATACATTTTATACTACAATTATACATATTTTTAAATTTGTCCTCCCAATTCTGTTTAAAATTAATTCGCCTCAAATCATATGTAACTCCTCAGCTCTTTCTTCGTTCCTTTCTTAATGCCTCCCTACAGTACTGCACTACCTCGATGCTTGTTGCGCTTTCCGTCTCAACCAAGAGTTGATCCATTTTCAGTAGCTCGAATTTCCCCTCCTCTGGCTTGCAATTTCTAAATGCGATAGCTGCACAATACTTTGGATGCAGCAAGTGTTCCTCAAAGTGCCAGTCATGCATAAGCATGTCATTACAACGCAAAGTTGTGCCTGTCAACGGCGATTCCGCAACACTGAGTTCTCGCGAAGTATCCACTTTGAAGCTAATTTTTTGTAAATCAATTGTTATGCCAACGCCAAGTTCTTTGACATAAGCCTCCTTTAAACACCAATGACGCATAAACGCTTGCACTTGATCGAACTCATTGTGGTGTGGGCGGCGTATGTAACGCCATTCGCTGTCCGAGAATTTGCGCTGCATTATACGAAAGAATTCCGAAAGAGACTTCCCACCGCTATATTCAATCTTCATCACATCAACACCAACGCCAAATGTAGTAGGTTCAGCTACTTTCACTTTGGTGTCCATCGAAACGCCCGCAAACAACACAAAATTTCCCTGATGCGATACATTGAAGCTCATTTGATTGGGGCATTCGTTTGCGGCTTGTGTCCAATAAGGTTTTCCACGCACATCGCGTGCAAATTGCACTTCTTTATAATCCATGCCACTTTGGACACTGACGTATTTTCGCATCAACAAACGCCCCACCAGTGATGAAAGAAAATCATCAATGTAAAAGAACTTCTGCAGCCGGCCACGTTCCTCAGCTTGGATGACAGCGACCGCCTGCGCTAACTGCGGTAGTGTTGGTGACCAGCTAGCCAAATCGACGGCCCAGCGCGTACATTTGTGCTGAGCCATTGCAGTGATAATTGGAAACCAACTTTTAATTGGTAACAATTTGTTTATTTTTATTTATTCAGAAGAAAAATAGTAACTTTATAAAGCTTCATTCCAATCAGAACTGTCAAAGTGTTGGAAACAAGTTCAAAACAAAATAAGAAAGAGCGATTTATAAAAAGAGAGAAGAGACCAACTGCAGCGCTACCAACTGTTGAAAAGCAAAAATGTAAACATAACGTGAAAGGGAGAAAATACACTATAAAAAATAAATGCTAAAAATTTTAGGTTGCAGTCGAAAAATATTAATGATTGGTGCAGTTTGCTCTTGCTTGGGAAATTTAGGATATTAAGTATTCCAGAAAATAAGCTCCGATACATACCTACGCACAAAAGTAAAATTAAAATTAAAATATTTTAAGTTTTAAACTTCGTATACCGAAGCCATTATGTAATAAAACGTTTACTAATACCATGGTGAAATCACCATGTACTAATACGTAGATACATACATATGTTAATCGAAAAATACATATTACTAAACAAATCATTGAGCAAAATCAAGTTAAAGTATAGATCTCTTCTCAGCATGGCAATTCGCACACTCAAAACAAAGTACACATCTACATACATACATATGAGTGTGTTTTTTTTCGAAATAACCATCACTAGCCAAAAGAAAAAATAATACAAGAAATGTATGTTCCATTCACAAAATAAAACACAAATGAATTATTTTTCTTTCACACAAAAACTCTTCAATAAACTTAGGCAAATTGACGACTTATTGTTCAATGTTATGGTACTGTAAAATCATTATATATAAACCTAGAATTCAAAAAATAAAAACTCTCTCATGTCTCTAATCCATGTCTTATACTTTCTCCTTAGAAAAATGAGCAACTTAACATTAGTAAGGGATTTATTTTATGATTTTGAAATTGTGTCGATATTGCAGAAGACTATCGATATGTGGCTACATATGTACATATATATTATACTTTGAATTGTCGTTATTGCAGAGGATTTTTAAAGATTTTGTAATATCTGTCCAAATATTTGAGAAAATGTTGAGTTCGTTTCTTAAAATGTCACTACACTCTTATAAGGCAAAAAAGGCACATTCTCTGCCCTGAGAAGTTTTTTCAGGGGAGATGTTTGCCCTCAAAATCAGATGATTGTTTAAGTTTGATTCAGCTGAATATTGGGCGTGTTTTTTTACAAGCATATAGGTACATCTACGCATTTATTTATTTATTTATTTATCTATTTATTCATACCATACAAATTTTAAGCGCAGATATATACGCGGGTAAAAAAACAGCCTATTGTTAGATATTTTATTATACTATAATAAGTTTCTATCTCCTAAAGTCCTTTATAAGCAGATTATACTGTAAATACATATACATAAAAATACATTGCTTATATGTATATGTATGTACAACACTACACATTTTATACACAAAATAATTGGAATTTTTTAAAGATTCTGCGTGAATTTATTTATCGACACAACAACTGGTGAGATATCTGATAAATGTGTACTAAGTGGTAGAAATAAATATTTCGAAAAGCAGCATGCGATTTTTCATGAACACTTACCGTTAAGGCGTGCCTTCTCGGGTCCACGATCGTTCAATGATGAAGTGGCCGTCAGGACGGCATGCTCCATAAGTGGCTGATTGCAATCATAATCAGAGAAGTAGTCACTATAAGAATCTGAAAGTAGAAAATAATATCAAAATATGTACATATATTACAATTCGCATGCTTATGCTTGTTTGTGAAGACCGCGTAGTTTTTCTTATATAGATATAATTGTTTATTTTCATGTCTACAATGACCTACTTAAGCGCTGTGATATTTTTCCTTTTTGGCACTTGTCCAGCCCTGGTAAGCAATTCATTAATTAGTTTTGTGCAAAAAAAACTCTATCTCATATTTCAAAAAAGTAATGAAAATTGCTGCGAAGTTCAAGACAAACTTTCGGGAGCTTTCGGGCACTTTCGGACTCATACTCATATGTATATCTGCAGCTCTTTTGTTTAGAAATGTCGAGTTCTGTTGAAAATATGCAGCTACACCTAACCAAGTCACCTCCCCTTACAATTAATGCACAAGTCAGTGCATGCATAAGTAAACAATAACGTCACTCAAAATTTTTTCGCAATACAAAAAGGAATCTTCCTTGGCGCAATGTGCCACTTGATTTGCGCTCTACAGTTGGGTATTTTGTACTTACATAATTACATATGCGAGTAGGTATGTAATTTTATAGGTACAACACAAAAGCGTGTACAAATACACAATGCCAGATATTATCCTGCTCATGCTAAATTCTTATATTCGTATAATTTTGTTTATACAGTGGAGGTATGTACATACATAGGTACATACAATTAATAATCAACGCCAACAAGCCTACAACCAACCAAATGTGGTATAAGCGAAGTAAGCCACCCCTTTTCAGCAGTTCAGACATTTTGCCCTCCGTCGTCACCATCGTCTGTGCATGCTATTTCATTTGTTTGGCTTGCATGCAATCTTATCCTGGCTAAGCACCACTACTTAAGTGCGCCCAACACAAAGAAAAAGTGCAACAATTGATGATATTTATGCCTTGATAAACACAGCGAATGTAAAGCCAGTGATTTCCGCTTAAAAATGTCTACAAATTTTGAACATAGATATGCGAAACTCAGGATAAGGCAGAATATGTATTCAATATAATTAGCTTTGAAAACATACATATGTATATGAATTTAGGTGGTTTACAAGGTGTCGTAAGTGCCTTTTGTCGTTTAACGGCCGTATAATATAACTTAAAATTGTATTCAACAAAAAATTTGTTAAAATTACAAATTTTTCTGAATTTTCTTGATAGGCTAGTCCGATCTAATTATCTTTAGTGCAAATAAAACAAGTTTATTCCACTATTACAGCCCAACGTTTCGTTTAGTCAAGACTAAACTACCACACAAGATGGTATTGGATATTTAGCAATTAAGATTTAGAAATGTTTAAGTGTTAATACTACAAAATAAACAAACGTGCCCCTGATGATGCTAATAAGTTTAGCGAAACGTTGGGCTGTAATAGTGGAATAAACTTGTTTTATTTGCACTAAAGATAATTAGATCGGACTAGCCTATCAAGAAAATTCTGTAACATATCCAAACCGATCGGAAGCAACAAAAACTAATACATATTTTTCTTTTTTATTCTTTTTATGTAGTATCGGAAGTTGGCCTCATTTGTATTTCAACGATAAATATTCGTGTGTCGTGAGCTAATAAATAATTAAGTGTTTAAAATTTGTGTGTGGTACTCAAACGAAACCAAATGGAATGCACTCTCGAATGTGGTATTAAAGTGCGAATAGATCTAGATCTAAAAATACTTATGTATATGTGTCCTACAATATTTTTGGAAAAAGTGGAAAGTGAATTTAATTAACAGCTTCTAGATTTCAAGCATACGGATTCGCATTCAGACATGTCTGTATTACATTTGCAGCTAAGAATAAAATAATAATATGCATGTATGCGAATGTGCATATATGTATTCTTTGTTTTGTCAATAAATGTATGTATGTATAACAGATTGGTGTTGTCTTGGAGTTCAAATCAGTTGTTTAATCAACAACAATGTTAGTTTTATGGGCGCATATCTGAAGTAATAGCAGAGTGGTTTTCAACATATTTGCGCATACAAACATACATACATACATAAGTAAGTCCACACCGCTAAGGAAAACTCACGTGTTTTACACGCTAATAAACTTTTGACCGAAATATTTCGCATGCGCATTACCTAATTCCGGCTGTAGTAGGTTACAAAATGCCGGCCATGTCGATTTGTCCTTGGCAAAAGATGAATATAATACAAACTTATGCAGTAAGATAGCCCCTGTGATATCAAATGCAATTCAAATCTAAATATGATAATATATGTGCATTCGTGCATGCATATGTATATAAATACATGCGTACTTACATATGTATGTCAATTATTAAGCTACCTATTAGAATGAATCATGCAACGATCGTTGACTTCATGCGAATGGACGCTATAAGCCAATGGTATCGGAACTGGCTGGGGCTACCTACAATAATTGAGAACGGCTATCACGGCTCCCAAATCGATGCCTATTTTCTATTGTTGACTTAGATTTTGGTGTTGCTTTTACGCTCTCTGTTTTGGCTACACGCTTCGTAAGCTGGGTCGTGGCTATCACAAGCTGAAGTAGCCAAGCTCGGCTTTGAGACGCTCTCACCACAGATCACGCTGAAATGAGCGTGAAATAATGTTACCAACAAGCAATATGAGCGTAAAAAGCCATCAATTGCAATTAACCAAAGCAAGAGCAACGAATGATGATGAGACATCGCCATTATGATCTCGATATGTAGAGTCACACCCAAAAAATTTATGCTAATACCTTTTTTCTTTTACTTCAAAAACTGAGGGGTACGGTTTAGTAAGTGGCCCACCTATTTCGGGGTATTGCGTCCA